CTGATGCGGATTTAGTAAGCATTCTTTTTCAAACCAGTTCTTCTTGCACACTCTTTTTCCCAGGAAGATTGAGTTCAGATCTCAGGGTCATTGAGCAAAAATTGTTTATCAGTCAATACTGTTAATGTGGACTCTAAGGAGGCCATAGAAAGGGTTGGTATTAAAATGATGTCCATATTAAGCAGGTTGAATTTCTTTGCCCAGAAAAGCAAACTTCGTACTACGCAGGGTTTGATTTAAATATTTTGTACATGTAGGCAAGACAGCCTAAACTGTCTGCTTTGGACCACAAACCAAAAATGAAATCTTTTTATTTTTAACAGACTGTATCTTCTTGTGAAGCTCTATGGTGGAGTAAAAGTTGCCGAATACTCCTCTAGTTTGACACCACAACAGCGTAAGGCAGTCCTCAGAGATTTCCGATCAGGCAAAGTAGTTCAGCTTCTCATCTGCTCAGATGCCATGGCAAGAGGAATGGACATAGAGGATGTGTTATTTGTGATCAGTTATGATGTGCCCAACTTTATCAGGAGTTATATTCATCGTGTGGGTAGGACGGCAAGGGCTGGGAACAAAGGTATGTACTATAGTACACAGGACTCCAACCTGACTGCTGGATATCACACACACCAGACAATAGCTCAATGGCAGTCAAGTGAAATTAAACTAAAGGAATAACTTCAAAGCTAAGGTTGTCATTTTGAGGAAGTGAGCAACTCTAAGAATTATTGACACCGATCTTTATCGATTATTTGCATTGCTGCAGGCTAGTACTGGAGGGCACCTAATTAAAAATAAGTGTTTTCCATAAAGGTATATGGCGTGATTTTTTTCCCCAATTCTGGTACAGTCTGAGAGCAATTAAAACACAATTGAACCCTTTAATCAATAGTGATGACATCACTAATCGATATTGGTTATGTGTCCCTTATATTGTTTTGTAATTGGTTCGTCAACTAATCAATAAAAAAAAGCCCTGAACAGCCGTCCTCTACTACTGGCCAATATACTGTTATTATTTTTTTGCTTTTTGTACTTACCAGAAAACTTTTATTTAACTTCATTGTGTATTTTTGTTTCTTTATTTTTACCAGGTACTGCCATCACACTTTTACACAGTGAAGAGGTACATCATTTCAGAGAACTGATAAAAAAAACTGGCCGTGAAAAGATCCCAAAATACAACATAAAAGACGACAAACTTCAATCAATGGTGGACAAATACCAGGAAACACTGGAAAGACTACAAGATGCTGTCAAGTTGGAGAGTCAAAAGAAATCACAGCCAAGAGGAAAGCAACTAATAACAAAGTTGTTACAAGAACAGTTAATGAACAATCTTGAACAAAAATGGTGAAATACCGGCAAAATGTTGGCTTCAGTGAGCCAGCAGACAGAACAAACTGAATTATTCTTTATAGAGGCAGCAAAAATTTCAGGGGATGATATCAATGGCCTTGAACCAAACGACTAAAACACGATTCATTCTTCTTTCATGAAATATTGCTTTATTTCCTGTTTGCAATGTATAGTTCTATTAAGCATTAAATTAATAAAGTCGTTTCAGCGTTTCAAACAAAATATTTGCATACTTGTTTACATTCACTTTTTATCATTAAATAAAAGTGTATTTGACCCAAAATGAATTAACATTTTTGTACAGTAGCAACCCAAAGATAAATCCATAGAAAAAATACCACCTCTCACCCCAAAATTTGATAGTATCGCATTAATGAGTGAACAATATTTCTAACAACAGAGTGCAGAATACAAAATAAGGTTTGAAAAATTGATGCTAAAATTTCACTGTATAAGTATGTATAAGCAATCCTTGCCTGCAAGGGGTACTGATATGCAAAATTCATTATTCTAGATCTTCTGAAACTCAAGGTCATTGCTCATTGCTATAATATTCCTCAAAAAACATGAAATGTTTGGGACTTTCAAGGATAAGCAGTGCCAGATTAAGAAGGGCATTTGCTACGAAATGTACAACTCCCAGTCAAGAAAATTGTGTAAAATGCCCATGCTAACGTACATAACGTTGCTACTAGTCTAAGTAGCTTGTGAAATTTACCATGGGGGACTGCTTTAATCCATTCACCCAAGTGCTTTGGCCATAAAGGTGCAACAAGAACACCTGCCAAAAGCTGCTGTCCTCTCTGATCCTAAACTACTTTGCCTCTTGCATTATTATTTAGTTGTCTTATGTTCTCCCCTGGCTTATAACTGCATGTTTTGAATCCCACCTTACAGGATTTTGCTCAAATAATTTTTAACACTTACGGTGCTTTCCATTCAATCAAAACTTTCAAAAATTTGCAAACAGCAACAAATGGTGCAGAAAATTTTCAGAAATTGCAAAAGCTGCTGAATTTCCAAAATGCGAACCACTCAACTAAAACTTCTAGAAATTCTGGGAGCAAAGTTGAATGGAAAGAAAACTACCAAGACAAAATTTTTTTGGAAAAATTTTGGTATACCTCGTGAGGTTGTCCCCTTTTTCAGAAATTTTGGAAAATGCTGTTCTCTTCGCTACTGGAAGTTGCGGAAAATTCAAAACAGATGTTTTGCTTGAATGGAAAGCGTCCCTAGCTTTTACTACAGTTATAACAAGCCTTCTTCCTATGGGATAAGGCCTTGAACTCCCCCCTCCAAAAAAATATGAAAGTGCATGTCTGTTGGTGAGTGAATGCAGCCTTTAACTTCTGGAAAAAATATAAGTGCCTGTCAGAGAGAGTGGCTCCTTCTTTCCAAGATTACTGCTTGTACATGAAGGTTTTCGGTTTCTTAACCTCATGATAAAGCAACCAATCAGAAGAGCAGCCATCACATTTGTTGCAAAAAAGATGCTCTGCGCATTGCTAGAACTGAATGAAACAAACTTGAGTGTGGCTGCTTTGACCTGCATACAATAAACTTCAAGTGTGGGAGAATACTTTTCTTACAATTCTGGAATGTCCTGCAATTCTCCTTAAGAAAAATAACTAAAGACAACCAGTTTTACCAGGCAAAAGCCCTTTGATGCAGTTTACCATTACCTTAAACACTTAGTACACTGGGGGCTTTTCCACGGTTACTTTTTGCTTTCCAGATAAACTTCTCTTTAAGCAGACGATACATAGTTCATTTCCCTCCCTAGAATCTTGGCTGACAAGATGAAAGCTCAGAAATCCATGGGGTAAATCTTCTAAGATGTAAAGTTCCACATCCTTTTCCAAGGAGCGAAGCCTTCGTGCAAACTCAACGGAGTCATCCAAGATGGGATCCAATGAACACGCCTGTAGTGGAAAAAAATACAGTCAAACCTCTGACTATAAACTCTTGAGTTTCAAGAGTGACCAACATCAATTTTCTCCCAAAAACATAAATACATATGAAAAGAAAAGGTGATAAGAAGGAATGAAATGATCCCTAAGGGAAAATGCTTTGATCTTTCAACAAATTCTCTCATGGTTTTTTTTGTGTGGATATTGGGGCTTAAGTGTCCATCATTAAAGATTGGACAAGTGGCTGCTAAGACTAAGGGGCGATCATCATGGCACGGTAAAATCAAAGAAACATACCACTAAATCAATTGGAGGCAAACTTCTCAGCATTTCATCAGAGGCCAGAAGAGGAGACATATATGGATTCTTAGCAATAGGCAAAGACACTTGGGACATAGATGTGGTCCTTTCATGAGTATCTTCTGTGTGTTCCACTCCCTGGTCCCCCTCTGGTGGTGTCCCCGCCTCCAGGTAGGGCTCATCTTCAGGTACATCCAGAGGAAAAAGTAGGAGCTCTTTGCTGGGGTTTCCTGGTGACTCTACAACATTTACCACATGGCACTCCTCTATGTCACTATGGTAGTGCACTGCTATGTGCTCTGAGTCATCCCCTTGGGCATGTTTACTCCTCTGAGGGCTTAAGGTTTGGCTTGGTGTACTGTCCTGCGAGTGTTTTCTTGACTGTGGATGTTGTGAATGCTCCGATGAAGTAGAGGAACTGTCCCCACCATGCTCTTTGTCTTCATTGTGTTTGGGCATTTCAGAGTTGAAATTCTCCTGACAATGCAGAATTCCATTACACTGCGGCAACTGCTTAGGGCTACTATGACAACCAGAAGTTTCATTTGGATCAGACATGATCTCACTGTTTCGAGTTATAGACTGTGGTGAGCTTAAACAGCTGTGGAAACTCTCGCCGCTTGCCTGTGGGCTTGCTTCCAAAAAACTGTTTTCCCTGTGCTTGCTGTCCCTGGACCCCACTCTCAGCAGACGTAACAGGGAGTTTGTTTTCTTTCTTTTATCGGATATATTCACAGGCTCACTACTCTTGCCAGTTAGAGATTTGATCGAATTCTTGGTGCAGTCATCAAATGGTGACTTTCCCATGCCAGAGTAAGCCGCTAAGCATGCACCAAGTACTCCGGTGGGTAATAGTGGGTCCATGAGGCTAAGGAGACGAGATGGTGAAGGCACCCACTGCACATTGAATGGTGAGTATGCAGCAAGAATGGAGTCGGGAACTCGAATGCCATATTCTGCTGCTCGCAAGCTCAATGATACAGACAAGTTACCACCTAAGGGGTAGGCAAAGATCATGCAATCGAGATTAGGACAAGGCTACCCACATTACTTCAACAATATTAATTCCAGACACTTAAATGCTAAGTTTTTTCTAACATTTTAAATTGATAATATCATTTGTAGCTAAAACAAGAAGGTAAACAAAAAGGGCAAATAACACTGAATGAACAGCAAACCCCATTCAGACTCTCAAGGTCAGCGTCCTACACTAAACTTTTTGTGGCTCATTGCACCAGTGTTGAGAAAAGACACTACTTATTGTAAGTGAACACAAACAGAAAAAATGGTGCTTGAGCCAGCTAAAAGACTACGTGCTTTTGGAGTTTTAATCTTGTACAACTTACAAAGTAATTTCTTCACAAGCTACATTTGGGCAGCCATTACGGTTTTTACAATTTCAAACATGGTAGCCATACCACCAGTTAATAAATGCCACAAAATCATAAGTGGAAAATGGTTACAATTCACTATTGCCCTTTGCAAAACTGAAGCTAACAACATGAGATTTGCAGAGGCCAGTGGACTGAAAAAGGAACACATGTTACTCTATGAACCCTGTGATGATAGACTCTGGAAAAAGGCACTACCTGCAGAATCTCCAGCTACACATACACGCTTGCCATTAGTGCCAAGGTGATGGAAGTTGTTCAAACACCAAGCATACACAAAGAAGCACTCCTCCAGCGCCCGAGGGAAGGGTGCTTCGGGGGCGAGTGAATAATCTATAGATAAGATAGGCACACTCAGTTCTTTGGCCCAGGATCGAAGATACATCTGAAAGATAAAAACACTCTGTATAATGCAGGGTCCACAACTGCAAGCGGCCTGTAGCCTGCATGACAGATGTTGGCACGAGAGAAATGCGAGCGGAGCACAAGGAGGTCCCTCCTTCCTCGCGCACCCCTGGCATTTCTCCCACGCCCAAAATCCCCTTTCCCCTCATCTTTGAATGCCTGCCATGCAGGCTAAGTGGTGGGTTGTCAATGTGCCTACAAATTGAGAGATGGCAACATGAATTACAGGGCTAGTCAAGTCGCCAGTAGGATAAGTTTCCAGTCCAGTATTTGAAACAGTTGTTGGAGGATCAGGAGATATTTGTTTACCATTAAAACTCAACTTATGTGCCATCCTGCCAACATTGTAGCTTCCTTGTAAACTAGCTAAGGATAATAGTTAAGGAAAATGAACATAAAATGTCCAAAGCATTCAATTTTTTCATTTCTTATTGTTAAAAAATAAAATTTTGCGACTATTTTTTACTATCTGACAACCACAAACTTTTATCTAGTTACCATGATGTCAAGTTAATTTTGGAACCTGTATTGGCCAACATTCATTCATTACAAAATAGGATACCACTGATCACATACATGTATGAGTACTTCAAGTTTTTTTTAGAACCAATTTGCATCTCCCTAGATATATTGGTTTTCATACAATCATAATATAAATAACTTCTAAACTGTAATGTACACTGTACTTGATAGTTCGTAATGACAAATGCAATGGGAAAAATATTAAGAAACAGATTGTATCCATTTTTTTGTCAACACCCAAATCATTACAGAAATGTGGGTAGGATTCAGCTCTCCAAGAAGGGCTGAGAAGGGCCATGAACGGCTGTTTAAACCCTTTTAACAGCCCCAAGATCCACAAACAAATTCTCCAGACTAATTTCCATTCATTTCTTTTATAAATAGCTGAGAGAATTTGCTTTAAGATCAAAGCATTCTCCCTTTGGTAATCAATTTAGTAATTCTCATAACCTTTACTATTGATGATCCACTGATGTTGTTAGGAGAAAATTGATGTTGGTCACTCTTAAGACCTGAAGGGTTAAACACTGTGTATTTATTTACAGTGATTTCAGTAAGTTTCAAAGGCTTTTGGGGTTAAAAGTATTGAATTTTCAAGGACATTCTGGGACCAAGTGCGTTCTCAAGGACTTTTAAAGGCCTATGTGAACCACTGATTATTATAAAATAACTAAGATAGTACGCGCGCTCTGATTGGCCGAGAGCAGTGTTTGCATGAGAGTATGTAAACATGGTTGTGGCGTCAAGTTGTTTGGCTTTTCGCGCGCTAATCACGCAAGCACCAAATTTGAAAAAGTTTTCGAGTTCAAAGCTCGACAAGTTTACTTTATTTACCCATTCCTTCGTCGGCTGAAACATGGAAAATCGTTACAAAGAAGGTGAGTCAACTTTTCTTCGCTTAAGCTGACATTTTAAGCGAGAAAACTCCGTATTTTGCAAAGCATCTTTTTGCAAAACAAGAACTCATTACGCGTGCAAGACTTCGTTGACAAGATTTTGCGACTGGTAAGAATTTCTCTTTTAATCAGTGCCATACAAAGAGTTTTGCGTTTTTTTCTAGGGAAAGTTATTTTATAAAAGCAATAGAAAACTTTTTTCCTCTGTTTGCATAGCCTGATATAAACACTCGAGGCGTTGGGAGAATTCTCGACGGTTATGCAAACCCTCGACTTCGTCTCGGGTTTGCATAACTGTCTCGAATTCTCCCAACCCCTCTCGTGTTTATATCAGGCTATGCAAACACGGAAAACGTTTTCTATTGCTTAAATAATAGGCTGCATGTGTTGTACCTCATGTGATTTAGATGACTGGGCCACAAACCCTCCGCCATGAACATGAACCAACAGACCATCACTTTTTGGTTTTGGCGATTGTCCATGGTGTGTGGTACCATCCTTACTCTGGAAAATAACAAAATATCCATAAAGTACTGTTACAAATATTAATAACTATAAATCTCAATGTATTAGTATTCACTAAGCAACCTAAAATATGACAAAAACCTAATAATAATTATTAGGTGTTCTCACAGGAGTCTAGTTGTCTAACTTAACTGACAAGACTGTTCCCTTAGATGACCTCAAAATCACAGATGCAAACAGGTTCTTTAAGTACAAAAAGCTTTCTGTTTTGTTGCATGGCCTTATAGACAAAGGCAGCCTCTAAAATGACACACTCAACTTCCTGCTGCTGTTAGAAAGTCCACGAAGGAGATTAAAATAAAATTAAGATCATACCTGACCCTTCCGCCACTCAGATGACAATAGGCGCACTTGAACCGGTGCCAGACCTGACCATGAACAGGGCGGGGCAATGGTTACTGTCTCACCATTGGCTTGTTTGAGTTCAAATGGCTCAGGTGGGATAAGGAATACCCTGTTCACCTTCATAGCTGAAGAAACCAACAAGGGAACATGCTAAAACATAATAAAAGAATTTCAGCACAATTGGACACAAGAAGTCTCTGAGAGTATATAGGGGGGTTCATTAACAGGAAGGTTGCCTCTTTTTGCCTTCAGTGTTTATTAGATTTTTCCTTAACCGCTTGCCCTTATCTTTGGTGATCTCTAGAGTAGTCCATAACAAAGATTGCATGTGGTGTGGTGGTAGAGGATACTTAACAATTTTATTATTCCTCAAGGCCGAATGGGCTCTGAGTCAACAGCCCATGAGGCCGAAGGCCGAATGGGCTATTGACTCAGAGGCTATGAGGGCGAGAGGAATAATTGTTGTTAATCCAACTAGTTGGTCAAAAATATCGAGTTAAAACAACTTTAGCTAGCAAAACGCGATTCAGCCGCCGTTGTTTTGGTTTTCAAAGCCGGCGCTTTTCGCTACTAGTGGGCTATAACATATAGCCTAGTGGTAGCTCAACGAATCAGAACGCAGCACTGATAATAGCCCACTAGTTGGATTTTAACTAAATCCACTTATTACCTCTCTGCCAAGGCCACATATCCTGATTCTAAGATGGCTATTGTATAGACTAAGTTTTTTTTAACCGAGAGAGTATTCATGATAGCAGTCTCCAAAGACAGTTGTATCTGATGGCCCAGGGTTAGTGGATTTTGCTATCGGGCTATAGTGAATTCAGTTCTTAACTTACCCAATAGGCAAGTGAAGTTTTTTGGGGAATTGAAATTAAAGAAGAACTGTAATCAATCCTGCTCATCAAAAAACTTTTTGGGGGCAAGCTTAAATGACTCTCGAGCCAGTAAATTTTAGCTACAGCTTGCCTGAATGGCAAGCTGTAAAACTGACTTTCTTTGCACCCTACATAGGCAACCAAAGACCTGCCCCCTTGTTATACCCCATTGTTCTGTATTCTTCAGAGCTCTCTTAAGAGGTCTAATGACTAACCTGGATTCCAAAACCCTCAGTTAAACTCCAAAAAGCTTTGCAAAAATCCATGTTGGTCTTCTGCGTAACATCCACTATCTGCTTTGCTCTCATCTCAGGATTCACGGTGTACTTGCCACTGTTCAGGAAGGATATTGCAGCAAGTGCCACACTGCTTGTTTTGTGTTTATGATAACCCTCAGCAAATGATGCCATGGCAACACAGACCATATGTAGGAAATTTCGCAAGCCGACAGAAAACTAGGAAGAAGTGAGTAATTTAAATTTAGCTAGCTAAATCAACTCCCGAGGGTGACAAAGGCCAGTGCCCAGTTGTTTTGAAGACCAATAAGCGCCAACCCAGGGTTAATTGTTAATCCCGTTGTCTTTTTCTTTTGCTCAAAAGCATTTTCTTAAATATTTTCTCTTTCCTTTTTACACCATCCAATCATAAAAGTGTAGACAAAAAGGTTTAATCTCAATTTGCTTTCTAAGTTTTCCTATCTGAATTAAAATTTTGCACTGACCCTACATTATCTTAACTCAGCTTTGAACAACCCGACCCTGGTGATCAAAAAGTCGCCTTCTCAGACTCCCTCCAGGGGACAATTTACTCAATAACTCATTTTTTTTTTCCTGTAGAATAGTGCACTGCCATCAGGAGTTGGAACAACATCAAAGAGAGATGTATGGCAGAGCCACGAATACGTATAACAGATCATCATTAGCCAATTATTTAACTTTGATTTTCGGTGAAATTCTCCTCAAGAGGAAATCCCGATCAGTTCACAAAATGGTCTTGTTTTCCTCTGAAGTTGTAAACATTGGTTTTAGGAGTAATCACTCCACTACAAAAACCAGGGAAATGCTGCATTAAACACCTTGAAGTTTAATTCTTATCTTCAAAAACATCAACGCTTAAGAATTTTGGGGTTTCACAAGTTCTTACTGTCAAATTTTGGAAAACACTGTGTTTAGCACAATGACTTTGTTTTCTTTTATATTCACGCCTAGCCTGCTAAAGCATCCGTTTCTCCTTGCTCTTCACCGCTGAGGATGTTTCGCGAGGAGGAACGTCTGCGACTCAGCAACAGGAATTCCATACTGATGACGTAAATCAATGGTTACATAATGAATCTGGTAGTCATGGAGTTCCAAATATAAATTTGTCCAATTTTGTGTCTTCTGGTCGATTTTGGTGAAGTGTTGTGTTCATCTGCCAGCAAGCTCCAGCAAAACTCAAATGTTTCTTCTAGAGAAGACAGACTATATTCCAGAAATATTGACTGTTTTGTTAGAGATTCTTCGCTTTTAAATTTGACCTTTGTGGCCTTTTGTATTTTGTCTGTCATTCGTAAACAATAGCTAAAACAATGTAACTACTCGGTCGACCAATCAGCACTTCTGACCAGTTTCCGGACAGATTTTACGTCGTCAGTATGGAATTTCTGTCGCTGAGTCGCAGATGTTCCTCCTCGCAAAACGTCCCCAGCGGCGAAGAGCGAGGAGAAACGAATGTTTTCGCAGGCTAATTCACGCCTAGCCCCAAGCAGTGGTGAAGGTTTTTCAACCCTCCTTTTCACTTATGTCTAAAGTTGTTGCCTGCCCATTGGGCAACTTTTTATTAAAACACCCTAAACTGATGGATCTCTCCACAAGCTCTGTGCTATTGGACAAGAGTACTATCATGCCTTCTGAATCTAGGGTTTATGGTCAAGTCGCCCCAAAGTCATTTTGCCAAAAAAATAAAAAATAGAATAAAAAATTTAAAAAAATTTTTAAAAAAATCATTTTGCCTGAAATCAGAGTTATATCATCCAAAATGTTTAGTCAGTCGCCTGAAATGCTGAGTTAGGTGGCGCAAAATTTTAACATGCTCAACAATATCTTAGCATCCCTTTTACCATTTGCTGAGCTTGTTTTGTCTCATCGAAGATTTAAGAATGAGATATATTACTCATTTATCGCACTTGTTTCTTGTTATTCCCGGGTTAAAGAGTGAGTTAAAGAGTGAGATATATTTCACAGTTATACCGCTTGTTTTGTCTCATTATGTCCATTATGGCTTAAAGAATGATATATTAACACACACTCTTTATTTAAAAAAATTAACTTTACTTCTTTGCGCACTTCACCTGTTAAAATTCGGGCAACATGACTCCGCTTTTCGGGGTACTTAACCCTGGTTTCAGGTGACATAACTTCACATGAGATTACTTTTGGGCAACCAGACAAGTTACTGAATCTAGCCTGCAAGGCTGAAATACAGAGTGGGGGCCGAGGTATTTATGCAAGTGATCCTTTGGGTCCAGATCCACTGATCAGGCTATAGCTCGCATAATATGCCCCCACTCTCAATACCCGCCATGTAGGCTATTCTAGATTGGAAGTCATAAATTTATACTCCATCATGCAGGGATACCAAATAAGAGTTTGTATGGGTTTTTTTTTATACAAGATTGAAGTTACGACCAAATCGTCATAATTTCAAAGAGATGATTTTGGAGATCAAAGCAATGATCGCCAAGTTTGACATGTAAGTTGAGAGACGACTGCAAAGAAACCTGCCAAAAAGTGTGTTGTACATTCAGAGTTTTTGTTTTCCTTATTTTCTGATTTCTGTTGTTGCGGAGGTTGCACTGAGCTTGCTAGTACTGTTGGACATTTGCAGGTACCCATACAGAGGTTCAACGAAACCTCCACAGGAATTTCCTCAGAGCTTGTCCTGGTTTTACATACATTGTACCCTGCAGTGGTAGTAACAGCATGAACACGACTCACCTGGAATCCTAGAGTTCTACCATAAAAGCACTCTCTATCCAACTGCTCCACTTCGAGCATGACTTTAGAGTCAAAACACTCCGGGAATAAATTGTCGGGGACGCTGTCCTCTATAACGATTCTTGCAAACTGTAATAACTCTGAAGTACGGTGAAAAAGATTTGCAAACGCCTCCATTTCCAGGCTATAGTGATGAGAACGAAAATAAAACCTATCTCGATGTGATTGGCAATACGCGGCCAGCTCTGTGACAGAACGGATGCACTGTTCAACAAGTCTTATCAAGCTCCGATATCCATTTCCCTTAACATCGCTGCTGTAATCATACAAGGGAGCCGTCCGTGCAAGTAAAATGGTGCTTTCTTCCATCACGTCAATGGTTGTCAGCATCAAGTTAAAGCTATCGTAAAATCGCTTGTATACTGTCTTGGATGTGTATTTTTCGAAATATTCTGTGTTGTCGACGAGGATTCGTTTCAGGTGCCGAAAAAGCAAAGGGAGATCACCGTAGTCTCCTAAGTTGAGGTCGGGTTCGGGTGATTTTGTATCCGGCTGCGACGCCATCTTGAAAACGCCGGTAAGTCGGCCGCAGATAAGAGTGTTTACAAATGCAATTAAAAGAAATCTTCATAATTTCCAAACGCCTCGATTCTCCTCAAAGACTTCCATTTAGGTGAGATCCGCTCACTAACAGAAACGTTTCTCATTTTCAATAACAAAAAAAAGCATCCGCGCTAATGAGGCCAGTACAGTGTGACACCGGTAAAAGAAAGCCTTTTTCGAGCGTAAAACGAATCACAACGTTACGCTTATAATTATCAGATGCACCAATTCATGACCAAAACGCCTATCACAAGACTGGATTAGAATATCTTCGGTATTTCTCAGATAAAATGTTTACACCCCTTCCACTTACGCCAATACTTTTTCACCCCGCAAGCCAAAACATCAACCCACAAATTGTCGTTTCAGCCTCGTTCGCATGCTGATAGGAAAATTGAACTTTGGACTGGACAAACGCTGCACTGGACCTATGGAATGTCACAGCACAAGCTCCACTCGTGACGAGATTTACAAGTCATAGTTCTCCCTTCCATCGCTTGCAATCTTCTCAATGATGGTGGAAAAACGGTTTTCATAATGCTTTCAAATATAGTAAATGTGCAGAAGTGAGTCCCGCTGGGGTACTCTTACGACAGTGTTTAATACTAAGGCCACACTAAAACAAAGCCCTCTTTCGCCTTTTGAAGCATCGGACATTGCTTCAAAGTTAGCCTGCTTTTAATAAGTCAAGCACGTCTAGTTACGGGACGACACAAAAAACGGCTGTGTAGCAGACTACGTCCACTAAACTACGAGTAGTCACCATTTTTCCTCAGGGATAGTAGAGCGAGCGAAACGCGAGCGCGCGCGTGAAATCTTGCCTTTCTCGCGTGGGGTGATTTTGACGCGCGCTCGCGTTTCGCTCGCTCTTCTATCCCTGAGGAAAAATGGGGACTACCCGTAGTCTATACGTCCACAATACGTCCACACGCATCCGGATATTTTTTTGAATCCGCAGCTTCTCCTTCCGGATACGGCTTCCGTCCACACACATCCGTTGAACCCGGCATATGAATCGGCATCTTTTTGAATCCGCTCTTCAGAGTGGAAATTTTTGAATACGCTATCAATCAGGAATCGTGAGGACGCTAAATCCGGATATTCTTTCATCCGGTGACATAACAAAATCGAGCCCAAGGAAAGGCAGAGCAAGATACAAATTTAGCGCGCACGACGCATGCTCTATTGCCAATACTCCCAGAGGAGTGGGTATTAGAGTGAATCCGGATACGTGTGGACGGGCGATTTAAATACGGATACGTGTGGACGTGGACATTTTTGAATCCGGAAAGAAAAAGTTGCGGATCCGGATACGTTTGGACGGGATCTAAAGCGAACTGTCTCTTTCAAATTTCATTATATTCAGGTGCATATGTACGTATAACTATTAAAAAGACAAAAAGCGAATTCCCTTGGGACCATCAAATACCCACATACGGAAAACAAAACATACAAAATATTAAGAGGTCTATTGCGCGTCCCAAATTACCGAAACTTCCGGAAAAGGGCCAGGCGTTAAATTTGTTGTTCGTTTTCAGGGCAAAAATATGTTAGGATCGATACGTCTTTACAGAACGCCATCAAGCAAGACGCTGCTGTATCCCCCTTCTGCCCAAAAACTGGGATGGTTGGAGGTAACACTTCAAAAAGGACCTTGCACGGCGCCGTGTGGCAAAGGAACGATATGTGTGACGCTGCGGTTTCACCCACTAACCGGCGGGTAGGTAACGAACTGAGGAACTTCTCAAAACGCTTCTAGGGTGCGCGGGCGACAAGTAAGATCACAACTAGAAAACTCATTAATGTTATTGTAAAATCATTCATTTAGTCTTAATTTACACCGTTATTCAACCACACGGTCGTTATGGTCAGAATTACATTTCAGTCAGCACTTGTTTCTCGCAGACGCTTTCCTTTCTTCAAAAAAAGAAAAAGAAAAAAGAAAACGAACGAGTACGCGGACAAACTCTAAAGCAAACGCACAAAGCTTCATAACAAGCTAGGACGTCTAGGAACAGACTAAAACAAGGCGTTCGTGTCGCACGATCTTAATTTACAACTACATGAGTACTGGACTCCAAAAATTAACCGAGTAATATGTGATAACAGAGATCTTGAAAAAAGTTCACTACAGATAAACCCGTAATATAATCTTGTTTGGGTAGAAACTTAGCGATCGATTTCTCCAAACACAACATCAAGTGTACCTGAGGGGAAATATTACAGAGACGCATTAGAATGAAAATATCACCTTCCGGTCAATCAAACTTGATTTTATTACGACTTTGCATGATTTCACTGGGAATTTAGGTTTTATTCACACCATGCCGGAGAGCTCTTCTTCGCGTTCCTGCACCCCCGTCTCGCTAGCCTACCTGTAACCGCACCTTCCCCCCGACAAAGGAAAAACGTTTTTTCAGGGGGAGGGTGCGGCTACAGGTAGGCTACCGTCGCGCCTATCGGGCGCTCCTCGCTCGCTTCGCTCGCCTGTTAGGATCATTAATTTTTTTACGTTTCTGTGAAACTGCCCACCTACCCCTCCCCTAAACCAACATTAACACGTAGTTCTTACTTTGGGCAAAATGTTGGCTTAGGGGAGGGGTAGGTGGGAAGTTTCTCAGAAACGTAAAATGATCCGCCTGTTCTACAGGCTACCACGAAAATCGTACCGGACAGGACTTCTGTTCACTAAGAAGAACGGTTCTGGCGGCGCGACTTCTGCGCCGCGTCGATCTCTAAAGTGGAGAGTCACATACCGAATAGGCGCCTCGGACAGCTATCCAGTATATTCGTGAACACAGCCTTTATCTGAGCTTATGTCCACAATGATATTTTTCCGACTTCTAATAGTCCAGTTTCGAATTAAAAATTACCGCTGAATATAAACATTAACGACACATTCATACAGGGTTAGCCTCGACGTAAAGTAAACTATTCAGAAATTCTGGTAAGTAAGTGTTTGGAATTTGAATAGAGCGGTTTTCACTTGACTGTCGAAAGGGATTGGTTTTGGTTTTGGTTTTGGTTTTACTACGCCCTTTGGTTGGCTAGTGTATTTACTTTGGTTTTGGTTTTACGACAGTCAAGTGAAAACCNTTGGTTTTGGTTTTGGTTTTGGTTTTACTACGCCCTTTGGTTGGCTAGTGTATTTACTTTGGTTTTGGTTTTACGACAGTCAAGTGAAAACCGCTCTATACACAAAAGACAGATTAATAAACATGTCTTTTTCTCGTTGGAATTTGTGAATATATTACTTCAGATTGAGGCTAAGGCTGTAAAAAATGCGTCTTCACTTCTTTAATAGGACAATTGCACGATGACGTCATTTTACTACAACTACCAGAATCCTTCAGTTTGTTGTTTTCTTGGGCAAATTAGGACTATTGTTCTTTAGTCCTCAGCGCGATTGACAAATTTCAATAACATAGCAAAAACGAAATGAATTCTGGTAGTTGTAGTCAAATGTCGTCATCGTGAAAATGGCCTATTCAGCGATCATAGCGAACCCGAAAATGGACTATTGGGGGTGAAAACAATAACTTACGCAAAACTTGGGACACAAACAGAGTGTATTAATAGTCCAAGCTTTTCCCCTTGAAATTGCGTTTGCTACGCGGGCTTTAAGATTTATCACTTTCAAGCAAAACATGAAGCGGAATTTTGGGGGTCATTCCAAAGTTATAAGGTAGCAAAAACTTACCAATAATTGCAACAACATCTGCAAGCATATGACCTTGGGAAACCAAATTCAGACCACCCTGTGGAGAATAATGATAATTATAATAACTGAAGACTACTAATAATAGAGCGATTTTCGTTTGACCTTGAAAAGTGGTTTCGGTAAGTGTTCATTATTTGTTTTATCAGCCAATGGATGAAAAGATCGAAACATGGACTCTTCGTTTTCCTAACCCTAATATGGAGAAGGCATCCTTCGATTGGCCAATGGTGTTGCAGCATGACGTCAAAGCGAAGTATCCACTGATTTCTAGAAAGTTCTCGGGCATGAAAAGTTTTTTCACCCGAGCGTTCGCTTAACCAATCAAAAGCCACGAGCGTTTGTATCCGTTCGACAAACCAATCATATTGTCTATTTCCATTCTTTTGTTGTGTCTGTTTTCAAGGTCATTCGAAAATCGCTCTAAACAGACAGAGAATACCTAATTTACTGTATCCAAAAACCTACATTAGAAGAGTGCACATGCTCACGTGACTAACGCTAAGTCTTGCTTTCATGAGCCCCAGCATGTGTTTGGCTGAAAAACTGTCATGCCACTTTCTTAACCAATCAGAAATATTCCCCACATCAACTTCGACCTTCTCGCCAACGTTTTCCCGCGCATGGTGCCGACTACATGAAACTACGTAGACACTGATTGGCTTATCGGGTTGTCAGCGCGTGTCAAGGTGATGTTGCATGAGACGATTCGCAACGACGATTTTTAGCGCAACACAGCGTTGCAACATTGTTGCAGCACTGTTGCGAATGGTTACAACATTGTTGCAGCACTGTTGCGAATGGTTACAACATTGTTCCAGCATTGCAACGCTGTGTTGAGCTTAAAATCGTCGTTGCGAATCGTCCCGTGTAAAATCACCTTTAACCAAGGTGACCAGCCACTGTGCGTTCTTGAGGACAGTCCAAATGTATAAATAAATCTACATAAAACTCACCAAATGTGCAAAGCCTGGAGCTTTGATCTTGCAGCGATAAGGTCTGCTGGTTCCATCTGACACCAAATAAACACCAAACTCTCCCTTGAAATTGAAAAGTAAAAGGGTTCGTCGTCGGTATCGAGTTTCCTTAGTACGTTTGTTGTCGTTTTTCTTAGAAAATTGGTATTACTTTTATAAAAAAAAAATGAAATTTTGTAACTTGTCTTATACAATGAATGAATGTTTAAATAACCACACATACAAAAGACAAATGCAGGCAAGATACTGAGGCTAAAAAAAGCCCAGGAACTATGGACAAAAATGGGAAAACTGACAGTCGCGATGTAAGTAATTAACTATAAACAGGTAGCAACAATTGTGAGTCGCTCTGCAAAAATGTCTCTAAAATACCCATGTAATAGCGGAGACCTTTAAAACTGAACGCAATAGAAGAAATGGACTTTGAGAAAGTCTATAAACGGCCTTCTCTGGCTGTAAAACTCACCTTAGGAGCTTCAATTGCTGTGTAAGTTGCTCCCGGAGGGACTTGATATCCTTCGGTGTAGAGCTTGAAATGGTGGATAAGAGCTTCCATGGACTCCTGTATTCAAAATCGGAAATCGAGAGGTTGTTAGCGGGTATTTACATGAGACGGGGACGAACTCAGACGGGTGCGAATTTGTAATTTTGC